CCTTCCTTCCTTCCTTCCTTCCTTCCTTCCTTCCTTCCTTCCTTCCTCACCCGCATGACTCCTTCCCTCCACCCTCTTTCCTTTCCTTTCCTCCCTTGTTTCTTCTCACCCAGTATCCAGCCTTCCTCCCTTCCTCACCCACATACCTCCTCCTTCCCTCCTCCTCCCGCTTTCCTTTCCTCCCTTCTCACCCAGTATCCTTCCTTCCTTCCTCACTCACATCCCTTCTCCCTCCCTCCTTCCCTTCCTTCCTCACCCACATAACTCCTTCCCTCCTCCCTCTTTCCTTTCCTTTCCTCCCTTGTTTCTTCTCACCCAGTATCCACCCTTCCTTCTGTTGAAAGGCTGGAAAATGCTTTTCTTCTGAGGGCTCGATTTTCCTGCTGGGAGAACTCCGGTGCAAGGACACAGACAACTGCTTGGAAGCTGGTTCTTTTTATTTTTCAGGAAGGCAAGAGATAGCAAGAAGTCTGCGTTCCTGGGGCTAGCCATCTTTGTATAATAAACCCCTGATTTTTATACTTTTTTTTTTCTCCTTTTGTGTGTGAGTGCTTGTGTTTGTATTTCTTAATGTTTTAAATCCTGTCAGGGGTTGTCTTCATTTCCGCCAGAGGGTAAACTCCGCGGGGTGGTTTGATTGGATTATCAGTTTCGTCCTAATGTTTTTTTTATATTTGTTTGGTGGCAATCTCCTGTCTGCTATGGAATTTATTTCGTGTCTTTTGTCTATTTGTTTTGCTGATTTGGCATGACCTTTTGTTTGTAAGGGATTTCTTTTTCTTGTTTCCCTAGCTTTCTTAATTACTTGGCTTTTGTCTAGGGGGCTTCTTTCAATACCTTTTATCAAATCTCTTTTCCTATGCAAGTTTGCTTTTATGGCTTAGCCTGATGTTCCCTTTGGGCTTTTCCTGCTTGGGTGTCACCACTGTCCTCATGAAGTTCCCTTTCCACAATTCCTTCTTTCCTTCCTTCCTTTTCCTTTTCCTTTCCTTACCTTTTTTACCTTTCCTGCCTTGTTCTTTCTCACTCAGTATCCTTCTTTCTTTTTTTTCCCTTTTTTCCTTCCTTCCTTCCTTCCTTCCTTCCTTCCTTCCTTCCCTCCTTCATTCTTTCCATAGAACATAGAATCACAGGTGTTAATTCTGAAGCCATCTTGGAGCTTCAGTGCTGCCACACTGGAGCTGAGAGCTATAAGAAAGGGGGTATTAGAGATAGCTGGGGTTGTGTAGTCAAAATAAAATACTTTCTCTTGGGAACAATGGACATTCTCACACCTGGTCAGAGGAAGGTGGAGTGAGGTCACCAGGCAACCAAATGGAGCTGTGATTGGACCATGTGACTGATTGTTTGGGATTGAGGGAAAAACTTTTACTTTTAATTAGGTGAAAACCACTGGAACCTTCAGAGTCGGTTTTCACCAGATTTGTGCCAATATGATATATCCAATAAAGCTATTCTTTGAGGAATTTATCTGCTTCAGAGTTTTGCTTGCTATGGGTCTATTACGCGGAACCCTGAAAATAGGGGCTAGAAGGAACCTTGGAGCAGGGGTGAGTTGCTACCAGTTGACCCCGGTTCAGGCAAACCAGTAGCTAATTTTATCCTTTGTAATTACCAGTTCAGTGAACCGACAAATCCAACCCCTGGCTGGCCCCGCCCACCCCTCCCCTCCCCTCCTCTCCCCTCCCCTGAGTCTCCACATGGCCTGTTTTGGATTCTGGGTAAGTACGGGGCCCGTGTGAAGGCACGAGGAGGGTGTAAAACAGGCCTCCCAGATGCTCTGGAAGAGTTAGAAAACTGAGTTGGAAGGGACCTTGGAGGTCTTCTAGTCTGACTCCCTGCTCAAACGAGCTCTTCCACTGATTAATTGTTCTCACTGTCAGGAAATGTCTCCTTAATTCTAAGTTGGAACTCTCCTTAATGATCTTCCACCCATTTACTCCTTGACTTGCTCTCGGGTGCTTTGCAGAACAGGCCGACCCATTCTTCTCTGTGAGAGCCTTTCAATGACCCTCAGCCAGCTATCATGTCACCAAAAGTCCTTCTCTTCTTAAGACTATCTATAGTTCCCTCAATCGTTCATTGGATGGTTTAGCTTCCAGTCCATTTAACATCTTTGTTTTTTCCATTTTGTATTTGATTCCTACTGATAAAACATAATACACACATACACACACACACACACACACACACACACACACACACACAAAGAGAAGAGGCAGCTGAGCCTGCAGAAGGAACGGAGGCCAGCCAAAAATTTCAGAAAGGACCCTCCTTAGTTACTTGGATCGTAACGGTGAGGGTGGAGACATCTACTTTCAGGCTTGCAAAGTCTCGTGGATATAACCTTACAATGAGAGACAACGGTATTCAGCCGGTCGGATCACTTCTGGGGTACCGGAAGCGGAAATTTTGGCTAGTTCGGAGAACTGGCAAAGACCGTCTCTGGCTGGCCCCGCCCAAGCACCCCACTCCTATCTTGTCCTATATCCCCTGGTTTTTTTTATCTCGGCTGATTTGCATGGCCGGGCGTCTTGCCGCGCCTCAGCTGAGCTAAAAAACAGCTCGCTCACCAGTCCTGACACAGAGGGTGGTTTTTGTTTGCTGTGCATGCACGCAAAGCACTCTCTCATAGAACCGGTAGGAAGCAATTTGGAATCCCACCATGGAGAGAGTGTAGTATAGTGGGGAAGACATCAGGCTAAAAACAAGGAGATCATGAATTGCCTTAGTCTTGCCTTAGGCACAAAGCCAATTGGGTGACTTTGGCCAGCCAGTCACTTTCTCTCAGCCCTAGGAAGGGTGAAATGGCACTTCTGAAAAACCTTGCCAAGAAAATGGCAATGACTTATCCAGGTAGTCTCTGAGAATGAGACACAATTGAAAAGGAGGAGGAGGAGGAGGAGGAGGAGGAGGAGGAGGAGGAGGAGGAG